CACGAATACAAAAGTGTGCTTTTGTCCTCTAGGACTCTATATAGGTCTAGGTTTTGACACAAACTCGAACACACAACAGACACGTCCAGCTCATTCATGCTCATTGCTCATTCAGCCAGTAACTTCTGACACTCCCACACACTCACCCAGGGCCGCCCTCGGTCCGGTCTGGGGTCCGGCATGGACGTACCAAAGTCCATCGCTTCGACGCGACCAAAGCCATGCCGGTGAGGGCTGATCTTGGCACTCACCTTGCCCTTCTTGCAGCGCAGCCTTCGTCATGAAAGAAGTAAAGGGTTCGTACCACTTCAATGCAGGTGGAGGAACGGAGGGGCGTGAAGAACACCAGGTCTTAGACCCCCCAAGTAAGCAGCGGTCACTTTGGGGAGGACTTTTGCATGGGAAAGCCAAAACTGCGACTGCTGTCTAACGATTCGGAGGGCCCTGCAAGATGAACCTGACATCACAGCTACCTGCGTTCTTTTGCATTGGGTCCTAGCAGCGCGGAACACCTTCGACAGCTTTACCACAAAGGAACGCAGCTGGCTCTTTGCACCAGGGGATAGCTTCCTGAAATGAGTGGACCCCAGATTCCTGACAAAATGCAACAAAAACTTGATCTGAAAAGATAGTGCTAGAAAGAGAAACAAGGCCTAAGACATCTTTGAGGGAGAAGTCACATTCCTTTCTTCTGTGGTGTACTGGGGGATCATTGTCTAGAAGTGTATAGTATATAATGAAATCGAGCAAAGACCTATTCAGTTTAGGAAGGCTTAAAATTAAACAATCAGAGATTTAGGGGTGTCTTGGCAGAGACTCAGGTCGACTTCTGCCAATTTGCAAGTCTGGCCTGAGCAACGCTTTTTGGGACAGGAGTGCAATATTCCTAGCATTTTGGTCACGCTTCCTTGGGTGCCTCAAGGGCCCTGGACTGGCAGACTACCTAAGAGGGCATCCAGACCGGTTCAGGTCTTCGATATATATATATATATATGTGTACCGCCTCCTGTCGCCGGAGTCTACATGTCCTCACTGAGGTTCCCAAACTGTAGATGTTCATTCTTCAGCCCGGCACCAGCCTGTCAGCGATGGCTAGGTCAATCATGGTGTGGGTTCACTCATCCAGTGCTTTGGGGCTGTGGCAGTTGATGCCCTCTCAGAAGGTGTTTGATATGTCTAAGAACCATCAAGTTCAACAATAACCCAATAAGTGCCCGCCTCAAAAATAATCGATAATCCAATAAGTTGAAGATCGTAACACAGTCCCAAGCATGATGAACCTGGAACGAGTCAAAAGAGAACATCATATGGAAAGAGGTTGGTGTTGTAATGATTTGTAAGGATGTCAGTGTGTTTGTAAGCATGATTCACAGAGGTTTGGCTAACATCATTGCCACAACTACACCACCGGACCAGTTGCTGATGGGACAATTAGCCCTGAGAGCAGACCGATAGCTTTTCAGCATGAGAACTGTCTCGCATGATTAGCCAAATAGCCAAAACCCTGCTGTTAAGCAAACTGTGTGGATTGCAAGTGTATCTTTTACCAAAAATCAAGATCACAAAGAGATGGCTCTAGGTGAAAGATTCCTTATCTGTTGAATCTCATATGACAATCACTTCTCATCTTCCAGTCTCCTCCTGACAGTTTTATGGTTTGAACAAAGAGCATTGGGTGTATCTTGGTTTGTCATTGATGATACTGCCTATGTGGTGAAAGAACTGCAATTTCCCCCCCCCTTTCCAGGACCATCTTGGTTTCGGTACAGCAAGTCTCAAGAATCACTGCCGCCAGAGACAGCCTCGTCTGTCACTTCTGCTGCTCCGACTGGAAAAAAACGGGTGCGAAACCGGTCCCGACTGAGGTTCCAAAACTCGACGCGCCCACAGGGCCTGCTGTAGAATGGCGTTCTTCACGGCATCCTCATACTGAGCCATCCTCAGTAGCCGCAAGGGCAGGTGGCCACGGCCACATCTCACCAGCTGCCCTGCAACATGTTGCGCCAGAACTTTGGTGATCTCATATGAGAAGAGAGGATCCTAATCAGGATCAAGAACTTCACTGCTAAACTCTGTAATTAATATATCTGACCTTGCTCTCAGCCACCTGACCCTTTTCATCCCTTTTCCCTCCCACCATTGGGCCCAAGGAACACATCGTTGGACAGCAGCTCCTAGGGCACGGCGGCTTCGGAGGCCCTTCTTCGGTGGCGCCCCATCGGTCGACCATGCACCCTTCGTCTCCGGTCCGAGCCGTGAGGGGACGTCCGTGCGGCCGCTCCGGTGAGGAACTCACTTGTTGCACCCAGTATCTCAAGGAAGAGACAACCTGCTTCTTTTGCGTCCAACATCTTGAAAATAGAACCTGTGAGCCGATGGGTCCCTCTTTTGCAGAACCTCCTTGTTTGGGCTAGATCATCCCCAAGAACATGATCCTCCCCGGGACCCCCATGATACGAGCAAACACGAACATGTTTCTGCCTGAGGTCATGTCGCTCCACCAATGTTCAGTGCCAGTCAAAAGGCCAACCCAGAATGGCACTCCAACTCCAGCTGGTCTCGTTCAAGAAAGCAAGCCACTATAATTCTAAGAAGTCTAATGACTTAACAATAAACCAAACCTTTGAAAAAACAAAACCTTGTGGAGAAACACAGTCAAGACATTGGTTCCCACTAATATGGTTCTCCGTGGTCTTTCAACCACATTGAATAATTATCTATATATATATATTATATTTAATATATTATATTATATGTGTTATGTTATATTATGTTGTATTATATTGTATTGTATATCTTTGTATTATATCATATTATATTATACTATAGTACATTATATTATAGTATTATATATATATATATTCATAGCATGACATGATTCCTGTCACCTTCCGTCCCTCCGTCTCACAGAATCTTAGAACAAAAACCTTGATAAACAATGATAAAAAGGAAGAAAGGGGACAAAACACCCCAGGCTCCTGGTTGAGACCTTCCACCTTGAAGCTCAGGTAGACATCGGCCTGACGATGTCCATTCACGACACGACACGACCACGGTCGACTGCCCCGTGCGCTGTTCGATCGGTGGAGTCCCACGTGCTTTGGACCGGCCACAGGAGTTAGTAGCGTCCGATCGCTCCTAGTAGTAAGGCCAGGAGTCCCTAGTAGCTTCTTGTTACTACTAGTAAGGCACCTGTTACTACTAGCGTGGCACTTGTTACT